TGTGTGTGTGTGTGTGTGTGTGTGTGTGTGTGTGAGGCCCCCTGATGAAGAGCGTCCTCTGAGTTCAGCTGAATGGAGTTTAACAATGCAGGAATGTGTGTGTGTGTGTGTGTGTGAGGCGGGGGATTTGGACGACTCTCTTTGGTTTCCATAGAAACATGATGTAAGGGTGAGGGGGCGGGGCTCTTCTCCTTTCATTGTGTGAGTGTGTGTATGCCCTTTTGTGCTTGCTTTAAAGTTTGTGTGGACTGGCTGGTAGAGAGACCTCACTCGATGGAGGAGTAAGACGAAGATCCCAGCAGCAGAGCGGCGTGACGACTGACGGGGTCGAAGACAGGAAGCTGGAAGTTGGAGGAAGTCTGTAATGTAGAGGTGAGGGAACAGGAGCTTTTGTTCTTCGGGGAGTGTGTGTGGCCAGATTGAACCACCTCTGACTTCTTCTCTGGTTTTCTCTGCCGCGTTATTGTGGGCTGCCGCAGTTCCCCCGTCAGCCTCTGGGTGGAGCTGCAGCCTGGGGCAGATGAACGCAGTGACACTGCTCATGAATGCATTCGTGTGTGTGGCTGTCTTTGTGTTGTAAATGCGATTAGACACTGGCAGCTCTGCTCCTGTTGTTGTTGACCTACTTCTGTAGCTTCACTTTAACCTGAAATCATCTCCGAGGGCGCACTCGGCTAACTTTACTGTTTCTGCTTCATGTGCAGGCAACATTTTAAAGATAAGTCAGAGTTTAAACACTGCTGCAAACAACACACACACAAACCTTCATATATACAAATCTACATGTACATAATTTCCTTAAACTATTCTGATTCTGATCTCACGAAGGTTTTAAACCAACACATACTGTTGCTGAAAGCTGGGGTATAAAAATCCCACTGGAACTGGAGATCAGAGGAACTGCCCACGTCATGGTCAGCATGTACGAGGAGGTCAGAAGAGGTGCAACAGTGAGTCTGCAGCCCTGTGTGAAGCATGGCGGAGTCTCCATCGTGGTTCCAGATGCATGTCAGCCAGAGGTGATGGAGGTCTTCAAACACACTGCCAGTGCAGTGAAAGCATCCTGAATAGAAACATACGGCGGATCAGCCTCCGCAGAGCCCGGACCTCGAGGAGTGGTCAAACATCCAAAGCATCGGGTCAGGCTGAAGCTTGCTGAGGGACGTTGAACCAAATGTCAGCCCAGAGAAAGTACAATTTTAAAAAAATATTATTTCTGTACAGTCACTCCACCCTGGTAAAAACAAACATTTCAAAGGAGTGATTAAAAGCCCCAAATCACAGACGGTGGTGCTGACAATGAGTGGGTGGAAACGTCTGAGCATCACCTTCATGTCATTAGAGAACCTGTGCTGGTGTTTGGGAGGTTAGCTATTAGTGTCCGAAAACATGAGGAGGATGGTATATGTGTCACACTGTTTGATGCGAGGGGTGGAGGGAAAGGTGGAGATGGAGGTAAGGATTAATTCACACATAGTAAAAAAGGCTGCAGGCCAACTCTGACCTGACGTTTGAGCCTTTAAGTCTGAAACATGAAATGCAGTATACAGAATACTACAGAGTACTATCTGTCACTTCCTCTGTGTCCAGGTTCACCGCGACAGCCTGAGGAGAACTCCTCCCTCAGCACCTCCATCATGACGGACAGACAACACCCAGGCGTGCCTTCCCCCTCGCTCTCTTCAAATGTTCACCACAACGGCAGGATTGGGGGGGCGGTGCCAAAAAGTCCCATGACCCCTGATCAAAATGGTAGTCTGGATCCAGGACCAGGATCCCACAATCCCAGTAAAGTCAGCAGCAGGACGCTGACCTCCACCTCACCCCTGAGGACCCTCAGGACTCTCGGAGGCCTCGTGAGTCCAGCAGGTCCCAGTCCTGAAGGCGGCACCGTCAGACCTCGGGGACAGAGCCTTAGCTCTGCACTCAGCTCCAGAATGAGAATCACGACCCCCCGAAGCAAGGTAACTCTCACCTGCAGTGAAAGACACACCTGAGCTGGTCCCACAAGTCCAGGAGAGACAGGAGGTGGAGCCAAATCTGAAGGGAGGTGTTGATCAGTCTTTGGGTAGCTCTGATCAGACAGAGGTCTGATGAGACGAGTTAGAACCTAAACATCGATGGACCACATGTGTGGTCAGAGTTACCTCATGTGATTTTAATAACAGCCTGAATAATTAAGAGAGGTCACAGATTCAGGGGAGACCCCGATGATCAAACAGCCTTTTTAGCTTATAAAGAGTCATCACCTGTCTGAGGTTCTGCACCTGCATGAACTCCAATCAAATCTACAGACAGTCAGAAGCAACACGCTGACACAAGCTGCCTCAGACTCTGTTCTCAGTGTGGTGCAGACTCTGCTCTGCAGTATTTGACAAACATTGGTGTGAAACTGCAGATCAAAGTGAAACTCAACATGCAGAGTTTTGGTGATTTTGGAAAGAGCGGTGAGGACAGATGGTGACATCGTGGTGTTCAGATGCTGTCACATTAGGTGTGTTGCAACTCAAACCTTTAACTCAGACTCCTGTTAACCACCTGTAACACCTGTGTTGTTGGTGCAGCGTAGGAGCAGCCAGCAGGGGGAGCCAGAGGCCCTGTTGGACCTGATCCTGGAGTCTCAGTGTCAGAGGCTGGACGACCAGAGAGCCAGCGTCAGCCTGCTGCCCGACCCGGGACCAGCTGCTCTTTGTGGGGCCTGCAGTCCAGATCAACCCCCTGTGCCCAGCCTGGACTTTTACTACATGCTCATACACTACCAGGTCTGTATCTTTACTGGGTTAACTGGTAACTAAAGATTGGACACACTGGTGTGGTTGGTTGGTGTGGGAGTATCAATGCTCCCGACCAATCAGATTCTTGTGATGTCACAGCGTTTCTTACCTCTGATTTTGAAAACAGAGACCTCCCCAAGTTAGTGTTGTTCTTGACCAAAGCAAAGAGAAAAGGTAAATAATAAAGCCTTTGGGTTACTTTTGGTTTGGGGTTAGCAGCAACATGTTAGCAACAGATCCTGTGAGTGCTGTAAGCTGTGAGCTGAGGCTTCCTAGACTGGACTTGTTTAGTCGGGGAGATCACACAGATCCCTGATCGAAGGCCAAGTCCGCACCTCAAAGCAGACTTGATGTGCTCTTTAAAACACTTCTGAACCTGTTTAGCAGCGTGGCTTATCCTACTGAAGGGCCACAACCATCAGGGAGCACCATTTCTCTGAAAGGTGGACACGGCCTGTAACAGTGCTCAGGCAGGCCTGTCACAGTAACATCCACATGGATGCAGGACACAACTTTTCCCAGCTGAACATCACCCAAAACATCGTGCCGCCTCCTCGGCTCATCTTCTTCCAATCTGGCCTTCTGGTTCCAGGTGTTCCCCAGGTAAGCAGTACGCATGCATCCACATGATGTGTATGCTGACACCTTTCTATCAGAATGGGCCACCCGGTCCAGCCTTCAGTGAACCTGGTGCCGTGTCGTTGGTTCTTTGATAGGTTACTGAGCCCTGCAGACCAAGAACAACCAAAGGGCTGCAGCTTTGGAGACACTCTGACCCAAACTGTCAGACACATTCAAATCCTCTTGTGCATTTTTCCTGCTTTTAACATCACGTCTGAGGACAAAATGCACACCTGCTCCCTGATATATCCACCCACCAACAGGTGGTGTGACTGTATTCACCTGTCAGCGGTCAGCCCTGTTTGACGTGTCCGACCGTTTCACTCTAGTTCGCTCTGATCTATGAGCAATATGATAGTGCAGCTCCTGCATGTGTCCGAATGAACAACAAGAAGAATTCGTTTGCACCTCACTATCTGTACACCTTGTTTTAACATTAATCAGTAAAGGTGACGTGGGCGGGACTTTAGCATTTTCAGTCAAATCAACACTTTACCTGAAGGATGGAAGAGAAGCTCATCAGAACAGATGATGATGGGGATAAAAAGATTTTATCCATGTTTGTAGTGTTACATTAGCTACCAGACGGGTTATGACCCACGCGAGCTTCTGTCTGTGTCTGCATTTGGGTCCACTCCCACTTACTGACCTCCCCCCATGACAAGATGGCTCTCTGTAAGGTGCAAACAAGTACTTTCTGTCAATATGTCACAACAGTGCGACTGGTCAGGGATCAACACTGATCTCGTCATCAGGATAGAACAGCCCTCACCTGTCTCTCTGTCTGCAGTCTGACAGGATGGAGGACCAGAGGTGTTCCCTCCCGGACCTGGATGACGTGCTCACTCCGGTTCCTGACGGTCAGGAGAACTTCTTCTCTTTGGTCCAGAGAGTCCAGTCCAGGAGGATGAATGAGCAGCGAGCTTCACTGCTGCTGAGGAACAGCGAGGAGGACCCGGACGCACAATCTGCTAGCTCCTCCCTCCATCGTCATCATCATCATCACTGATGAAGCCCCAAGTCTGATCGGGTGGAGCGACTGAACTAGTTCCCTTTAAGGAGTAGCATTTGTTGTTGAGTGTGGCTCCTCAGACTGAAACCAGGACCGCAGTGGTCCTGGACGTGGGGCCATGAGGGTTTCCGTCTGCACGTAGGACAAACTGCTGTCAGAAATAACCTTAATTTTTACTAACACACCTGTAACACATGTCACATGACCAGGAATCACAGGTTGGTTTCTGTACGAATGCTTGGACGGACTCTGAGGTTTGATTTGATGTTTGGAAGTTTGTTTTAATCAAACTTCTGTGTGGATGGGTAAGTGGGGCTGTGTGGGTGGGGCAAACCCGTGTTTATCTCACACAGCGCCCGCAGCATATTTGCCCTTCAAGGCTAGTGGGGATGCCGGTGTGGGCTTTCCCACAGGAAACCCACGTTAGTGGCCAAGAGAGGCATGTTTGGTGGGGCAAGCTGAGGTTTGACTGCATTAGAAGGTGAACATGGGCATCCCTGTGATGCTGGAGTAGGGAAGGTGTCGTAGGGCGTGAGGCGTGGGTGTG